CTGAGTTGGTATGTTGAACCCCGGTCCTATTCGGAGTATGACATGTGTTCTATACCAGTAATATAAGGACTGAGTTGGTATGTTGAACCCCGGTCCTATTCGGAGTATGACATGTGTTCTATACCAGTAATATAAGGACTGAGTTGGTATGTTGAACCCCGGTCCTATTCGGAGTATGACATGTGTTCTATACCAGTACTGTAAAAACCGAGTTGGTATGTTGAACCCCGGTCCTTTTCGGAGTATGACATGTGTTTTACACCAGTAATATAAGGACTGAGTTGGTATGTTGAACCCCGGTCCTATTCGGAGTATGACATGTGTTCTATACCAGTACTGTAAGGATTGAGTTGGTTTGCTGAACCCCGGTCCTATTCGGAGTATGACATGTGTTCTATACCAGTAATATAAGGACTGAGTTGGTATGGTGAACCCCAGTCCTATTCGGAGTATGACATGTGTTCTATACATGTACCAGTACTGTAAGGACTGAGTTGGTTTGCTGAACCCCGGTCCTATTCGGAGTATGACATGTGTTCTATACCAGTACTGTAAGGACTGAGTTGGTTTGCTGAACTCCGGTCCTATTCGGAGTATGACATGTGTTTTATACCAGTACTGTAAGGACTGAGTTGGCGTGCTGAACCCCGGTCCTATTCGGAGTATGACATGTGTTTTTCACCAGTACGTACAGCAAGGACCGAGTTGGTTAAAGATGTATTTCCTCATTGCAACCTAACGTTATTTTTTTTTTATTACGAGAGTATTCGGAAATATTGGAATTTGAAATTTCAATCTGATGTTTTTGGGTTTAAAATGTTTATCTGCCGACAAAACACAAAAAATCTCAAACATTTCTTAATGATCACATTTTAATAAGAAAAAAGGCTGTAAGGAATCCTTCGATTAATTAAACTGAAGAATATTTAGGTACATGTATAGAGTTTTATATAATTATCAAATAAAGATCCTTTTCTTTTTGGTCGATCAGTGCAGTAACCTCAGAAACCTTCAAGACGAAGAACGTATTGGAAATATGATCGCCGCACCAAGAATAAGATATTTTTATGCTTCATTTACGCTGTTATTTGCTCAGTAGTTATAAATAATCATTTGAGTAAAAATCATGCAATAAAGTTTCGTACTGCAATTATTTTCCGTTGGATGAGTCGTAAACATGTTGATTACAGCACAAGATTACCCCAGGAACAAAACGTGTGTGGATGATTTTGGATTGAATCTTCATGTATTAATCAGAAATTAACTATGACAAATTTTCTTCATAAATAGCTCTTAAGAACCATTACCGTGATTAATTGGAAAAGCAAAATAAAACATTTTCTTCAAAACATACTTTTTATTCTTTTTATGAAATTGCTACTGTGTTGTAATATTAAAGCATTATTCATTAGGCAATCCAATCTTCGTATAATTTCCGTTTAATTCAGTAGGAGATGCTATGGTCCATGCAAATTGAAGTTAAAGACAGCGCTATTTATAAAATATATCTACAAACATGTATCATAACACCTAAAACAACTGTCAGTGTGTATATTTCAATTGTGTCTGGTCTTACAATTCCTTGATAGTTTCTTGATGCATCCTTCGATTCTCTGCTGTTAACTTTGTAAACAGTCTTTGATTTGCTTATTAAAATAATCAGGAGAAAGAATTCTTGATTGTAGAAGGTTCCAGTTTAAAAATGTCATTAAAATGCAATGAAAGAAAATGTGTCAAATCAAAATGTTCAGTTTTATCTTTAGGAATCCTTTATTTTGTTTGTAGATCATGTAGTACTCAAGCGAATCTCTTCTTTCAAGTTATACAACCCCTCCCCAACGATTGTTCCAATTTAGCTATAGTTTAGACCAATTTTGGCCGAAAGCATCACCAACGAGTCATTGAAGGAACAAACAGCTTTATGGTGCAGTGCTTTTTTGTTATTTGTTTCATTCTGAATCTTTTTCAAAATTTCATAGGTGGAGTCATTACAGGAAACACAGTTGGTTGAATTCTTAGTCTCCGAGGTTTGCCCTAAAGTTTTCCTTTCATTGCCAAGATTATCTCTTATATTAGTAGTGATACGGTACATAATATACACACAAAACTCATTACTAATTTGAAACAAACTAGTATTTTGGAAATATGATTTTTGTTTCATAATTAAGGGAATGTATAACCCCCTTCCAACAGTAGTTCAGACCGATTAGGATTTCCATCTGTTTGGCAGCTAACATCACATGTGAGTCTTAGAAGGACGAGAAAGCTGCATGGTGCACTGTTATTAAGTTTGGTATGTTGTATCAATAGCCAAATTTTATAAATGCAATCACGTGCACGTCTTTGTGCATCTTTCAAGGCACAAGAAAGTAGGCTCTGCTGGAGGATTTAATTATCCCGAGGTTTTGCTGTAAATTTTTAAGTCACAATTATCTCCTTTCATTAGGAGCATTACATAATATACACACTTCACCCAGCATTGATTTGAAATTTACCAATAGCGCTTTGATTTTTGAAATTTTGTATAATCATAGGGCTTTCTGCATATCCCCTCTTGCTTCAACTGTAGTTTACACCAGTTGGGATTTCCACCTTTTTGGCCTCTAACATCACTGATCAGTGCAGAGTAATTATTTTTGGCATGCTGTATAAATTAAAAGAAATTGTAGGTGTTATCACGCGTGTTTCGTGTTGATCCTTTTTATTAATGCCTTATTGGAGTTGCAGCTGTAAAATTTCCGTGGTTACAGTTTAATGTTAATGACATAGGCATCACGGTGTGAATACGTTGCTTGCCAAACAATTTTCCGCAATAAACAAACTAATTTCCGATTCGCGTACATTTGTCAATAAATATGTTTGCATCATTTATTTACGAGATTTGTTGACGCTCTGCATTGTATAACTGGGAAATGCTTTCTAAAATCTGGCTGCATTTCTTGAAATTATAATACTTAATAATACATGACTTGTTTCGAGGCATGGTTTTCGGAAATCTTTACCAATGTAGAAAATAGCGATGTCGGTTTATTGGTTGCAAATATCCATTTCATTGAAGTGTTGCTTCTCTGAAACTGTTTTGCAGTTTGCCGGTAGGATTTATCATATTAAATGGAAGGTAAGCACTATCAATTTTGGTAGCCACGTTAGTGTGTATATTATCGATACAATAACTTGATTGATTAGTATGTTGTTCAAAATAGTTATCTTCTCTCACGTTTGTGTTTTTGTATATAAAGATATGGCATTGTCATTCTTGACAGAAAGCACCAACACCAAACAACTTACATCCAAATACAGGTTTTTTTTTCTTGGGGAAAAGAACGTTTAATGTTATGTCGTTAATTTCGACTAAATAGTTATTAGTCTATGAGTCAGTATAGCTAGTTAGTTAGTTAGAAAGTTTGATATTTGATAGCACTTCATAAGTGGTATTGTTTTGTCTTTTATAAGCTTGTTTTTATACCAACCATTCACGAGAAGGTGGTTAAAATGATATTTTAAGGTAAAACGTCATACTTCAACTTAACAGTAAGTTTTTATTAGTCAATATTTCACTCAGAAAGTCGTCTCATCTTTTACTGGGATCATATATTTCTTTTCACAAAATTGTTTGACATGCCAATAACAAAATGTAGTTCACTGGTGAATCACATACACTAGTGACAATATCCTATATGATAAATCGTACTGGTTTTGGATTAGTGTTTGCTTATTATTTAATGTGGAAAGGTAAATAAGAAATGAAACAAATGCAATTACAGAAATTTATTTGGAAACTAAAAGATATAAATTTATTTTGTTGATGTTATAAGTTAAGGTCAGAATAGCAGATGGTGTTTCTCCTTTAATGAGAAAAAGCCGATTTTGTCAGATTATTAGTTAACAGCATGGTATCTCCCTTACTTTTTGAATTGACAATATTTCTTCGATGAAATCCACAAAAGGGTACGGAGGGAAGAAGTGAATCGGGAACTTGTCTTTCGCTTCGAGGGCGTTTTCTTGCCGCTCTTACTCTTCCAACTCTTTGTCTTGAAGACCGGCTTAGGCGTGGTCCCAGCAGAACGTTATATGGTATTTTGTCTATGATTGTTACCGGCAGACCCAGAACACTGGACCACTGGACCCTGGTTTCTCAAAAAAGGAACACCCGAAATCACAAGAGTCCTCTTTATGTCCTGCATGTATTGTCTGTCCTCATCAGACATCCGATTTTCAGGAAGATCACAGCCTGTACAATAAGGTAGAAGTAGACGTGTAAGGTAAGTCGCATTATTATGTCGGCCTTGTAGTGTTCCTTAGCTTGGAACACCGCCTAGTCCATCATATTCCTAGGCCAGAAAGACGAATCCCAACTCTCAAGCCTAGCTGAATTAGGGATAATCTGCCTGCCGTGAATGGCATAATAAGAGAGTTTAACTCCGATAAGTAAGTCGCCTGGTGCCGCGAGTAGCAGCGGACTTCTTCTTTACAATATTCGCCTGAGCGGTTGTCAGTGCAGAAGACACAATAGTGTCATATAGCAAGAGCTTATTACTGCAGGTAGCAGACTTAGGAGGAACAACAGAATTCAGCAAACTGCTCGCCGATGACACTTAAGGAGTTGGGCAATCCATCTCGCCGAGGATACGAGCAACGTCCGCACGAAGCGTACGTATACCTAAACCGAGATGGGAGGCCATATCCACCTCATCATATGCCTCGTCTACTTAACGACTGGGATGCGCCATCAGAAGCGGCACCATCCGAAGAAGTAGATTCTGACTGGAGACAATCGACCTCAGAATACCCAGGCAACAGATCCTTCACTGCCAAACACAAATATTCAATATAAATAGGCACCCAAGAATTCAAATCGGCAGAGACACTGGCTTGGCCAAGGCAGCAACCACGGAGATAAACGTCAGGGCCAAATCTAACTCATTGAGGACAGAAAGGGTGTCACATAGGGTGAGGAGGAACCCGAGGGTTGGTAAATTTGGCCTGTCTGAGACTGGAGCATGAATTACTGCCAGTACGGCAATGCAGAATCAACATTCCCAGATCTACACACGGGCATGTAAGGGCCCTGCCCGTAACTTCCTAAATTCTGAAATCCACAGGCTGGTTTGGTTGACCACGGAAACCCTGCGCGCACATTGGGTTATTCCCGTAGCCGGGGTCAGGCACAGGAAATCGCCCGACTGATCGACTGACCCGTGGCACGACGTCTATGACAGGTTTCCAGTTAACGATAAACCTATGAAATCAGTCAAAAGAGCATAAGGGAGAGGCAGGCTGGAGGGGGAAGAGGGTAAGGTCTAAAGCTTCACATCCCAACACAGTAACATATTAGACAAAAAAGTGAAAAAATAGATTTCCAATGAAATCGAAACTGGTATTCACTGTCACATAGTTTCTGACTCGAGAGACACACAACTTGTCGTACATTGTGTAGAAAAGTGTTCACTTCGAGTGCTACCGGTGACTGAAATTGTCATGCATGAATCATACACTTTATGTAAAAATAACGTGTTTATTGGTCTTAAATTATAAAAAGAGTTCTAAATGCTATGTTTTTGTTTCTGCTTTACGCCATAAAACAGCTATGGTCATTTAATGACATGCCGGGTTTTAGATTTTTCCCTTTTGATATGACCAAGAAAATCATATTAGTTGTATAACGGATGCGTGCCTACAGTTCGTTACCAAGATCTATCTTGGAGCCAGTAACTGTTGTTACAAATAACCTCCGACAATATATACAAAATATTGGCCGTCTATCTGACTCAAATAACTATTACCTAGTGATTAAAATACTATTACTTCAAACCACTACTGCCTAAAACTACACCCGGTATATATTTTACATCTATTACAATATACCTCTAACACTAATATAGTCAAGAAGACAACTAAAACACTGCATCACAATATATCCGTCACTCTGTTCAACAGTAAATATCTCCTTACTGCGACACCCGTGACTGTTTACACGCTTTACAGCGACACACAGTGACCACGCCAGAAACACTGTGAATCATACATGTATGCCTTGGTAAACCCTGAAGTCTTGGTAAAACCTGTGTCTTGGTACCTGTCTCTCTGTATCTATCAACAGTACGTCACACTGTACTGTGACACCTGTGACTATGTACACTACCCAGTAATACAATTTATATTGACGATTACCTATAAAGCAGTACAATGGTACCCTAACTTTTTCAGCTTGGTCCCTGTTATCCATTTTAGAGGTGTTCTTTCCACTTCGACCGCCAGAATAAGAGAGAGCCTTGCATCTGATGGAACCTCTATTTATATACCTAGCATCTAATGAACTGCCTTCTTCCATTAGCCAATCAAATCTATTCTAACGTCCAAATCCCACAGAAATAACTCAAGCAAATCTATACTATAGATCATTTATTGATCAAAGCAATTACCAAAGAATCAATGGCCTAGTAGTATGACGATTTTGTCATCTTATCATCTCATAATTTGTATCAATAGGTGGCTAGTTAACAAAGAAGACTGCACATGTTCTTGTATCCTTTTAGTAATATTTTATACAATTGCTTTTATATTAATACGTATAATGTTTTATTTTTTTGAACAATTGTTGTCACTAAAATAAAACCTCCTCCTTTATATTTAGTATCTGTTTTTATTGATAATAAATGACCATACATGTATAATTATATGTTTTACTAGTTTCATGAATATCGCATCAAGCTAATTTAACTTTCTTTTAAAAAAATATCTTTGAACCCATCAATCTTTGGTAAAATGAGACAAATATTTGACAACAAATATGCAATCATATTTCAACAATACATTTTATGTTTCAAATTTTATTTTGGTGATGGAAATGCCTTTGAAGGAATCGTTTTAGCCGAAGTTTAGTAAGTTTTTTTACCAGACAGAGGACGAGCCTTTATCTGCACACAGCATTGACCTAAGATCAATGGCATACAGAATTGACCTAAGATCGAAGGCATACAGCATTGACCTAAGATCAGAGGCATACAGCATTGACCAAAAACCAGACGCATACAACATTGACTTAAAATTAAAGGCATACACAATTGACCTAAGATCAGAAAATACAGCATTGACCTAAGATCACAGGCATACAGCATTGACCTAAGATCAGAGGCATACAGAATTGACCTAAGATCAAAGGAATACAGCATTGGCCTAAGATCGGACATACAGCATTGACCTAAGATCAGATGCTTACAGCATTGACATAAGATCAGTGGTATACAACATTGACCTAAGATCACAGGCATACAGAATTGACCTCAGATTAGAGGAATACAGCATTGACCTAAGATCAGATGCATACAACATTGACCTAAGATCACAGGCATACAGCATTGACCTAAGATCAGAGGCATACAACATTGACCTAAGATCAGAGGCATATAACACTGACTTTAAAGCAAACAGCATTGACCTAAGATCAAAGGCATACAGATTTGACCTAAGATCAGAGGCATACAGCATTGACCTAAGAGCAGAGGCATACAACATTAACCTCAGATCAAAGGCATACAGCATTGACCAAAGACCAGAGGAATACAGCATTGACTTAAGATCAGAGGCATACAACATTAACCTAAGACCAGAGGCATACAACATTAACCTAAGATCAGAGGCATACAGCATTGACCTAAGATCAGAGGCATACAACATTGACCTAAGATCAGAGGCATATAACACTGACTTTAAAACAAACAGCATTGACCTAAGATCAAAGGCATACAGATTTGACCTAAGATCAGAGGCTTACAGCAATGACCTAAGAGTAGAGGCATACAACATTAACCTCAGATCAAAGGCATACAGCATTGACCAAAGACCAGACGCATACAGCATTGACCTAAAATCAGAGGCATACAGCATTGACCTAAGATCAGAGGCATACTGCATTGACTTAAGATCAGAGGCATACAACATTAACCTAGGATCAGAGGCATTCAACATTGACCTTAGATCAGAGGAATACAACATTGACTTAAGATTAAAGGCATACAGCATTGACCTAAGATCAAAGGCATACAGCATTGACCTAAAATCAGAGGCATACAGCATTGACCTAAGATCAGAGGCATACAGCATTGACTTAAGATCAGAGGCATACAACATTAACCTAAGATCAGAGGCATACAACATTGACTTTAGATTAAAGGCATACAGCATTGACCTAAGATCAGAGGCATACAGCATTGATCTAAGTTCAGAGGCATACAGCATTGCATTAAGATCAGAGGCATACAGCATTGACAACCAGTTCTGTTAAAGTGTTGACACCGCGTTTGTCATTTCTGTTGTCCTCACGTTCATAAAATTGCCGCCTCATATACTTCGTTTGACAAAGCCATTTACCACGTAAATGTACTTGTTGCAATTCAATTTTTGGCCTCTTTGTGATGTCAAACCTTTTACAAACACATTGTATGTTGAATAGCTTTATGTTCTCATCGGGAAAAATGATATAACATATAACATTTTACTCCCGTTTCGTTAAATCTTANGGGGGGGGTCTAAACCCATCCTCATCTCATTCCATCCATATTGCATTCTATTATTTCACATCTTTATCCATTTATAGACAAACTGAATTGTTTAAAAATATCGTTTACAAATTATCTCCTTTGTGGTTAGTAGACTGTGCCTGGACCATGTGGTCTCTGTGCGAGAATAGAGAACTTTTCTACATTTATAAAGCTACACATAGGTTCAACCGTGCGTTCATTCGTACATTCACACGCACCGTTATTGTAATTTTATGGTCTTCATAAATAAGGTGACGGGTGAAATTTTATTCGACAAGCAATGTTACCTATACGCCAGATCCCTATTGTACAATCATACTAAGTGCTAAACTGTGTTCTGTTTTATTTTTCTAGGATTCAATTTTTTTTCTTTATTGATTTCACTGCTTACATTTATCGAAAGTTGTTTGATACTGGAAAAACAATCGTAATACTTTGTTTTTTGCAATCATTGAATTAATTGACGTAATTAACATCAACACTTTCGCTCTAAAAAGTATAGCGTTCGGCACTATAGCGGCTGACAGTGTTTGCGACAATCTAATAAACATGCAATAGTTTTATCAGGTGATTTACTACTGTTACGATGCAAAGAAAGAATGCTCCCAGTCCCCTGTGAAAGAAGCATCCGGCACAGGTAGATATATATCGATCACTATTAGATACACCGTTCTTTAGACGTATGTTGCCAATGTGTCCAAACGGTCGAGTAAGACACCTAACAGTGCTATCTACGATTGAGATAAAAAAAAAACAAAAAAACCCCTGAAAGCAGCAAACCAAGAGACAATCTATGCATACAGCAATCGGAACGGAATTGCTTTAATGTCTGTTAAACACGGCGAGAAAGCTACACTATTCGTTTAATTGTCAAATATGTTAAGGATTTTTTCGCACAAGGACAACACCGGTTTCAAACCGGTATGTACTAAACAACCTCGATGCGTCTAGTTTCTTTGAAAATGAGTTGCTGCAGACAATCGAACTTGTCTTTGCTGCGATATAAAAGTAGTACAAATTAGCACGGATAGGAATAATAACGAGGTATTGTTTTCAGATACTAAAAAGGACAAGAAAATGAAAAGCTGCCACGAATTACGAGTAAACTTAACACACCAAAAGGCTCAATAAAAAGACAAGATACCATTGTCCTTGTCCCAGATATAAAACCGGGTTTTAAGTAAGATGGAAAGTAGAACGAGCGAATCACGGCTGTGATGTTACATTTGATAATTATGTTTATATTGAAAATCGATAGTAATTTAAGCAAAATGTCTTTTGGGCTTTCGCTTTAATGATTCTACATTCTCTTATAATGGTTTTAATCGCAAAACCCTTATACGCTAACACCTCCGATCTGTTTTAAAAAATAAAAAACGAAATGAACTAAAGGACCTTCCTTTCAAGTGTTGTTATCGACTAGAACTCTGACCTGTCCCTGAAAAGCTGGTCACTGAAGATCAGCTGTAGAGTGCCATATAACTTAGAAATGTCAACATTAAACAGACAGACTTAATGTGGAATACTAATAGGAACATAATCGATTGCCCATTGGCTACAAAGTGATAACTCGAAATAGAAAATTAATCTTATCCCTGAGGCAATTATTTTGCGGGAAATACGTTTCTTTGATTTTTCGCATGTCGGAAGCAAATATTTTTGTCTGGGAATCTTTACCTGTATTACACAGGTTTTATTTGACGATTTATTCATTGATATTGCGAATATCGGTGAAGAAGGGGAGTACTGGAATGAACTGCAGTGGCTAAATCAAGTTAGAATGTCCCTGCCCTCTTTTATTAGGCCTCCTGATTTTATAGCAGGAAGTTTGATAGTTCCACACACTGTATTTGTATTTAGATTATACAGAAGAAATAGCATATATCTGACATGAAATAACATATATCAACATAATAATAGTAAATCGGAATTTAGACAGAATCCCAAAAAAATGAGAGCTTGTGCAGACAACAACACGAGAGAGATGACCATATTCAAAATTATAGATAAATTTATATTGCATAAAGAATAAGAAGATAATATTGGTTACCATAAAACTTCTCCGTAGCCTTTATACCTTTGCATTAACCAAAACCCTGAGGTGTATATTTGTTCGTCAGCATTTGACATAAATCACAGAAATGGATTATTCCGAGAAGGAAAGTGAACATCGAACATTATCATGAATATCAAAAGATATTCGTAAGATAAAAAGATTGATTATTTTGACCATTTGTGATTGACTACAATGAACTTTGCATATTTTATAAATCGTTTTGCGAGATATCTAAACTGACTATTTCCGCGAATAATTGCAATTTAGAATATGCTCGTGTTAAAATAAGTTTACTTTATCATTATGCAGAAACATTCGAAAAAGTGTATACTAAAGAAAAAAGGTTTTGAAAGTAGCTTTAAGTTCACAATGGATTATAAAAGTGGTATGCAATTGCAGCTTACCTAGCACATGCTGTTAAAGTCAGCTGCATAATTATAAAGTAAACACACTGATTGAAAATAAAGAAAAGTATTTTAATATATCTATAAACCTTTGGGCAAACGATGAGGGGTACAACGGTGGTTAAGTTCGAACCAACACAGCTTGTCGGTATTTCGAAATAGAGTAGTGCTGACGAATATAGCATCTTAGCCTTATCCATGCTTCATATTTTAATCTGTGCAAATTGGCCGTTATATCTTCATTAGTAATCCTTAATTAGGTTCATGCAGGTTTTCAAGGATGTTAATATTTGTAGGCAGCCATCTCTTGCCGCAAAAACATCAATAAATCACACAGTCAGAAGGCATCCTTACTGGCAGAGAACTGTAATAGACTGCTTCCTGTGATCATCACACGGAGACTTCGTCTGGACAGTGAGCAATGGGCTAGGAAACCATCGCTTCATATGTCACATTATAGTCTGATACCAGCTCTCTAAAATGTTAATATATAAATAAGCGACATCTAGATAGAATACATTACACGACGTTATTGTTCCGCGATCAATGTGATATTTTCAAGGGAACATATTTGTTTCTCTGTACTAAGTCAAACACTAAGCAGTTGATTGTTCATGTATCTTAAACAACCAACAGGTGAAGCTCAAAGAGCAAGTGGAGTAATATCAAAAGTTCTAGCTCAAAAACCGTACAGGATAATCTCCTATGTTGAAGTTTAAACATCGAAAAGAAGTATTTCGTTATAATTACAAACGGAAACAAGGAAATATCTCAATATTACTTAAAATAATGACTTCAAAAAATCTCAATTAGTTTGTCCATCAAATATAAGAAAGTTCTGTACAGGAGCTCAAATACAGAGCAATGCTTGTTGCTGTTTTAGCTGCGCCGAATTCACTACAACAGAATGTTAAGTTCTGATGTGTCATTAGGGTGAGAACTTGAAAACATTGAAAACAATTTCCGAATCAGCACCCCAAATCATTATCGTTGTTATATCAAGTAAATTGAATTATTATCCTTCGGATTTTTGGTTACCCTTCTAAAAAGATTTTCTCATTTACAATGCGTCATGAAAACGTAGAAATAGGATTTTGAACACATATACACATCATACATATTCAGTTAATATTTTGGTGTTCGCTCGTTCGTTCTTTCGCTCGATCGATCGATCGATCGAGAGAGAGAGAGAGAAAGAGAGAGAGAGAGAGAGAGAGAGAGAGAGAGAGAGAGAGAGGGAGAGGAATGGTCATTGTTCACGTCAGAAACATTAATCAATAGACAGTTTCTGCATTAATTACAGGTTATACTTATCAGGCTGTCGTTATAACTTAGATCAGCATCAAATAAAAAATTGAATGTCACTTCGGCTCGATGTTAAGTTTAGCATGGTACTAAATAAGTTAGTTACAAAGGTTTCAACCTGATACAGGGGAGATTTCAATAAGCACCTATTTGGTCTCGTCCTGGTCTAGACGTTTAGGTGAAGTGGTTATGCACCAATTTATGTGCTACATGTACATGGTGTATTAGGTACTCTGTGACATTATCGTACTGTCTAGCCTATATTCAGTGCAGTGATATGCATACGTAGACTCGTACCCTGAGTTCTATATTGCTATACAATAACCCAGGAAGGCGACTTTCCTCAGTATACTCTAATTACTGTATCCAACGCGGTTACATGCAAAATGGTACTCAGGATGGAGACATTTTGCAAGTAGATCTGAACTCGTGCTTTGATAGTGACATCTTCAGATAGATGTGTTGTAGGAATAAAAGATGACAAACATTCTGGGCAAAAAAGTCTCCGTGTTTACTTATAATGATGTTAGGGTGATACAGATAATATATGCTAATTCTGAAAATAAGACAGACGGATGCTCGTGAAAGCTGAAAATTCAATTGCAACTCATGCCGACAAAAATATGAAATCTGAGGCATACATCGTCACAATTCCTTACAACTTCGAATACAATCGATGTCAATGAAACGGGATGAAATATTTGTGATATAGCGTAGAAGGCAGCTCACACATTGCATGACAAAAGGTTTGGAACAACCACATACACAAACGATTCCCGGACCCTTTCCAACGCTTTAAGTGATAGGCTTATAAGCCTGATTGCGCCTGGTGAAAACAACACGCATAGATCAGCGCACTTTTTCTTGTAAGAACAGGAATGCTATCTGCGCGGAAATTAAACATTTTCTAGAACCAGCCAACCCTGATATCAGATATTGATTTTATGTAAGATCTATGCATTACTGACGTCACATCGTC